CAAGCCTCTGGTGCGGGGAGGTGGGGCGTGGCGGGGTGGCAGTGGGGGTGGCGTTGCCCACTTTTGGAGACACCAGCTACGTCCATCAAGTCTCTGCCCGACCAGAAAGAAGAGCATCGTCCTGCCACCTCACAGGCAGCGCTGCCCGGGGCTGCCAAGCTGTGGATGGTGTCCGTGCCAGCCACAATGCTGACCACCCTCCCGCTTCCCCGCCCCCACTCTGGCTCTGGGCCTCGTCTCTGCAGCCCCCGTCTTGCGTTCCTGGCTTTGTATTTGGGGCCAAACCCCGTGATGCTCAGGGTCACTCCCAGTACAGGTCTTGGGGAACCTTGCAGAAGGGAGCTCGGAACTTGGGGTACCAGCATGCAGGTGGTCTGGGCCCTCTGGGCCGTCCTTCTGACCGGGTCGCAGGGACTCCCCCCACCAAGCCTGCTGGCCTTTCTGTTTAAGGGGCAAAACCACCAGCTCAGGGCAGTTGCTGCTGGCCCAGGACCACCAGGCAGGCAGGAGAACTTGCGACCTCTTGTCCCACGCCCCTTCTCTGGGGCCGTTTATCAGGTCCCAAAGTTTGGGGGCCAGGGTGGGCACTGGTGGAGCCCTTTGGTGCCGCTTCTCTCCTTGAGAGGCGCAGGGCTGGGGTGCCTGGAACGAGGTGGCCTGGGTGGAGTGTCCCCATGGCACAGGTGTGGAAAGGAGCTCAGCATCCCCCTTCACCAGGACCCCATGGGGTGCCAGGTCAGGGGAACTCGGTGCAAGCTTCCCCGAGCACCAGGTCAGAGGCTGGGGAGTTGTGTGTCGCCCTATCGGGCTGAAAAAAAAAGACACTGGAGATGGGCCAAAGTTCACAAACTGAATCCCAGACCCAGGACCTGAAACCCGAGTCCAGGCTTTTCTCTGCGACACCTGAGGCCTCACACAGCTGCAACTGCTCCCAGATGCTCCCCTCCCCCCCACCGTGCCTCAGGTCCTCCTGGCCCCTGAGGCCACCTGCCGCATGCCCATCCCTGCGGGTCCCTATCCCTGACCATGGCGGCTGCCGGCTCCAGAGGAGACCCACAGCCGCAACGTCCCCCGGAGGTGGCAGCCACCACCCAGCACCCTGGAAGGTTGGTCTGAAGCCTCAGTTCAGCCGCTGCTTGGAGAAAGTTTCAGGGACCCAGCTCCCTAGTTTTCCAGTAGCTTGGCAGTCTCACCCACCAGCTGCCCTGCCCCCCCAACCATGTAATCTCATCAACGGCAAAGATCCAGAGACTGTAAAATAAGACTCCCAGAAGACAGCGATGCAGTATCTCCTGCCCCCTCTATACTCAGGCCCACTGATGTACCTAAGGTAGCACACATGTGTTGGGTTTGGTTGCTGCTTGTCCTCGCTTACACACGGGCTTAAATGGCCCCAGAATGAAATACAACAACCTTCACACACTTCCCTCTTCTGGTGGTGGGAAGATGCTCACTGGTGGGGTGGGCGTCTGAATATTATCTGTAATGCACTATCGTGAACGACTTTATGAAAGTAAATGTATAAGAATCAAACACACAAAAGAGAAAGTTTCAGGGAGACGGGGAAGGAATGGGGGGCGTGGTGGGGAGGGCGAAGAGAGCGGGGAAGGCGCTGGCCTTGCACCTGGTTCCGGTGGTCGCCCTGGATCCTGTCCCCGCGCCACACTCGGTCCCCTGCGTCCCCCCAGGAGTGCTCCCTGAGCACAGAGCCAGGAGTCAGCACCGAAGACCTCGGGGGTGACCCACAGCTACACGCTGCCCGACAAGAAGAAGTGGAAGCAGAGTGTGAGGGGCCGGTGTGGGGGGATGCCCAGCCGAGAGGGAAGTCCGGGGGAAGGCGGGGGGCTGGGGGCCGTGAACTTTCCCTCTGCCCTGACACCCACGGGTGGCGGAGGTGTGGGTGTGAGAGACAGGGACAGGATGTCAAAGCGTCTTGGGCGCAGGGCGGGCCGGAGCGTGGACTAAAAATATCCCCGAGTGGAAGGCAGCTGCTCTGACTTGGAACCTTCTGAAAAGGGGATGCCCCGGCCCTCTGACAAAGGGTAACTCCCCGCCGTCACAGAGTGACCCCAAGTCTCTGGCAGGAAGCTGTGTGGCCACACCAGCCTGGTGGGGTGCAGCTGGAGAAGTCTCCCTGCTTGAGTTTGGGGGCTTGGCCCCCACCCAGAGGCTGGCACCTGGTTCCCTTCTTCTCGGGGGCGCCACGGTGATGAGTGCCCAGGCCACGAGGAAGTCGAGCCACCCAGCAGGGACTCAGCCCTGCTGGATCCTTTAAGCTGCCTGGTTTTTCCCTCCTGAGCCAGCCCCCGCAGCGACGGGCACTCCGGCCAGGCTGTCCCTGAGAGTTCCAGGCCGAGGCGCCAACCCCGACATGCTGGGCTGAAGGTTGGGTTTTTGTTTGTTTGTTTTGCTCTTTGGGTCACGCCCAGCGATGCTCAGGAATTACTCCTGGCGGTGCTCGGGGGACCCTACGGGATGCCGGGAATTGAACCCGGATCAGCCGTGTGCAAGGCAAACGCCCTCCCCACTGTGCTATTGCTCCAGCTCCGGGCTGAAGTCTGACATGGGCATCCCCGCGGCCTCACGCCCTCATCCTCTCCCGCCAACAGCCAAACCGGCCGGGCCACTTGGGAGAGTTCCAGGATCCGTTTATCCAGACTCACGGGCTGAGCTGCCCTCTCCGGGGCTTGGGTGCTGGTCAGCTGGAGTCGGGCACACCTGCGCCAGCTTCAGAGCCTCACCCAGGTGCACCCAGGTGCGGGAAGGGGCCCCCCAGGTCCCTGGCGGAGCTGGGCTCCTGGGCAGGGCCCGGCCGAGGGGCGGCTTTGCCTCCTGCCCTGGGGCGCAGAGGGAGCCCGGCTGTCCCTGCAGGCACTGGGCGGGTCACAGGAACCTGCGCCAACTCCTCCTCCTGTTGCAGGGAAGCTGCCCCCATGGGAGGGCTCTGAGAAGAAGCCCTGGGCTGGGGAAGTGACTCAGAGGCTGGAGCGCAGGCTTGGCAGGTGTGAGGCCCCGAGTTCGATCCCCGGCACCAGAAGAGGCTCAGGTGTCCATAAGCCCCTGGTCTATAAGCCATTGCTGGCCTTTCACTGCCTTCCTGATCCTCATAAAAGAGAGGGAGACGTTTTGTCTGAATGTTTCGGGCCACAAGCCTCCCTGGGCTGGGAGAATGAGCAGCTTGGGCTATAAAGTGTTTGGAGGCAGAGTTGTGTCCTTTTTTTTTTCTCTCTTTTTGGGTCACACCAGGTGGTGCTCAGGGGTTCCTCCTGGCTCTGCACTCAGGAATTACTCCTGGCGGCATTGGGGGACCACATGGGATGCTGGGGATTGAACCCAAGTCGGCCACAAGCAAGGCAAACGCCCTCCCCGCTGTGCTATCGCTCCGGCCCCCAGAGTCGTGTCTTGAGGTTGATGGAAAACCCAGCACCCAAACGTGGAATCAGACCCGCATTTGAATATGCTATTTTAAACCCCAAGGTGGCCGGGCCCCGAAACCATCACGCATTTCACCGACTCCCGCCCCAAGTTTCAGTTCTCTGGTGGCTTTTCTTTCTTTTCTTTTCCTTTTTTTTTTTTTAACTTAAAAATAAGCTCTTGCCCTACAAAACTCAGGGAGCGCCAAGGAGAATCGCGAGGCTGTGTGAATGGCTGAGGCGGGCAGCTGTCTTCCCCGAGCGTGTCCCTGCCATCACAGCCAGTTCTCAATGACAGAGCTGACGTGGTCAGCCGGAGCCCCACTGGGTCCAGGCAGCCCGAGTGCCCTGGGTAGGCAGATGGGCACTGACCACCAGGGGGATGCTCGGAGCCCCAAGGCTGAGGCGGGCAGACCAGAAAAATACACTGAGGCTAAGAATTGGACAGAGATGATGCAGAAGCCATTTTTGGAGAAATACTGAAGTCTGTGTGAGTGTGTGTACACACACACACACACACACAAACCCCTGATCCCTGTCTCCCTTTCTACATACAGCTGCCAGTATACTTATAGAGAAGTGGGAAAATTGATCAGGATCCTCCACTAAGCCTCATGGTGGTGGTGGCGGAAACCGGGGTCAGAGGGGCCTTTGTGGGGGATCTTTCACGTTGCCTTCGCCCTTAGAGACCTGCACCCGGGCAGCAGCATTGGAACCCTTCTTTTCTTTATTTCTGTGGTTGAGGCCACACCTGGGGACAGTGTGGGCTGACTGCTGGCTCTGCCTTCCAGGGATCACTCCCAGCGGGGCTCAGGGAACCCTAGGGGGTAGGTAAGACTTTTGACAGCAGTACCCACTCTACCATTTTCCCGGCCACAACAGCTTTCTAAAAATTGGTATTACTTGGGGGACGGGTGGAGGAGGGGCTTCCAAGTCGGACTGGGGAGACCGTGTGATGCCCAGGCAACAGAACTGCCCCCCCGACACCACCTGGCGCTGGCTTCCGCGTGTGCCCAAGGTGTGTGGGCCACCCTCCACCCCCCACTGAAAACTCGACACCACGCACGCGGAATGCAGGGGGAAGCCGAGGACGGGCGACCGGCTCCTGTTACAGTCGGACACCCAACTCGCCTCCACGCCCCTGGGGAAGGCGCAACCCGCAGGTGCGGGAGGGCGCGGGAGAGGCGTGGCTTGCGGGGCTTCTCGGGCTGCCAGGGGGGAAAACAGACCGTAGGCGCCCCCCTTTTTTTTCTTTTTCAGCTGCGCTCCCGGGGGCTCCCCCACGTGTCAGCGGCGCGCAGAATCCAGCTCGGGTGCCCGCCGCGCCGGGGGGCGCGCGCGGCCCCTCCGGACTCGTCCAAGTTTACTCGCGCGGCCCGGCCCTGCCCTCCCGCGCGGGGGACACGCGTCCGGGTCCGGGCCGGCGCGCGGGGGGCGCAGAGGGCCCGCAGAGGCCCGGAGCTGGTGCCCGAGCGGGGCCGGAGGGCGCGGGAAGCGGGCGCCGGGGGCGGCGGGCGCGCGCCTGCGCCCCTCCCGTGCCGGCGGGGCTGCGGGGGTCCCGCCCCCGAGCGCCGCGCGCGGACCCACCTTGCAGGGGAACAGGACCGCCGAGGCCACCTTCTCCATCGCCAGGTTCCGGATGCTGGGCGTCAGGGCGCCGCGGCACGTCGGGCAGCAGCTCAACTTCTGGCGGCATTGGTTGCACACCAGGTGCCCGGCCTGGCACTGCAGGATCGGGGGCAGCACATAGTCGAAGCAGACGGGGCACTCGAAGAGCGAGGTCAGCTCGTGGTGCTGCGGGGACCCGGGGCCGGCCCCGCCCCCGCCGCCCGGGCCCGGGATCACCGCGGCCGCGGCGGGCACGGCGGCCGCGATGGTGGCGGCGGCCGGGGGCGCCGCCGGGCACGGGGCGTGCTGGGGCTGCGGCGGCGGCGGCGGCTTGCTGCAGGGCTTGCTAGCGCCGGGGCCGGTGGAGGACGGGCGGCTCATCGCGCTCCGCGCCCACCATGGACCTGCGGGCGCCTGCCTGCCGCGGGCCGGCCGGGGTCAGGGCGGTGCGCGCCCCGCGGGCGGCGGGCTCCCCGGCCCCGCCACGGCGGCCGGCGCGTGGGGCAGGCGGCGGGCACGGCGGGCCGGGCGGGCGGGCAGGGCAGGCAGGGCAGGGCAGGGCGGCGGGCGGGGGGCAAGCGCGCGCGGTGGGCCAGGCGGGCAGGCGGGCGCGGCGGGCGCCAGGGGCCGCGCGGCCGGTCCGACACCCCCTCCCGCCCCGCCCGGCACCCGCGCGCTGCGCACAGCCGCGGTCCCCGGCCTCGGCGCGGCGGCAGCTGACGCAAGCCCCGGGGGCGCGCGCGGACGTGACGCCTGGACACGTGTGCGGGCCGCCCAGGCGCGCGGGGCCGGGCCGAGCCCCGGGTGCGCGGGGCCGCGGGCTCCGCCCGGCTCCGGCTGCGGCTCCGGCTGGCGGCCCCGGGCCCGCCCCCCGCGCGCCGCCCCACGCGAGGGGCCGCCCCCTCCCTCCCCGCCCCCCGGCCGCGGAGCGGGCCCCCGCGCGCCGCGCCGGGGGCGGGCTTCTCCGGAGCGGGGCGGGGCCCGCCGGGACACGCCCATCAGGGGCGGGCCGGGGCGGGCCCCGCCCACCGCGGCCCCGCCCACGCGCCCCAGTTCAAACCAGAAGGACGACTCGGGCGGGGGCGGGGCGCGCGGCGGCCCCCGGGCCGCGGCGGGAAAGTGCGGGGGTTTGTCTTTCCGCGCGCGGGTTGCGTCACCGCCCGCCCGGGGCGGGGAGCGGAGGCGAGGCCGGGCGTGGGCCGCCGCCGCCAGCCGGGCTCTGCCTCCGCGGGCGCGCGGGACCCGGCGCCCCCGCGTGCCGCGCCCCGGCCCGGGCTGGAGGCCCGCGGCCAGCACCAGGCGGGGCCGGGCGGGGCAGCCTGGACTCCGGGGGGCGGCTGGAAGTGCCGGGTGGCCCCGGAATGCTGGCAGCGCAGGTGGGTCGCGAGGCCCGCCCCCGCCCCCCCACCCCGGGGCGGTGGGCGACGCTCCGGCAGAGCCCGCCGGAGTCCGGGGCGCTGGGCACAGCGGAGAGGGGTGCCGGCCGGAGCCGTCGAGCGGTGTTTTAGTGGACGGGGCAGTGCCCGGGTAAGCAGCTCTTTCGGGCGCCGAAAGCTAGAGCGGGGCCGCGTGTGCCACGGCCGTCCCGAGCGCCCCCGCACCGCTGGGAGCGACCCCCAGCCCCGCCCTCTGGGAACGCGCCCAGGGGAGGTCGAACAGCGGTTCTGCATCCCCGAGCCCTGCTCTTTATTTAGCGTCAGGGAACCCCCAGGGACACGCACCCACTGACCACCCCCGCCTCCCGTGAGTGCTTTAACTGCATCGCCCCCCAGTTTCCTCGTCTGCGAAAGGAGGATCAAACAGGGACCCCCCCAACAGGTGCGGTGCTGACAACGAAACGGATGCCAGGCACTTGGCCCACCTGCTCAAGCTGCCACCTTCGTCTCCCTTTTCGGGGTGTCCGGGACGGGCTCCCAAGTGCTGGGGAAGGGAGGCGGTTCTCCGGGATTCTGGGCCCTACCCTGCCAGTGGTTCCCTGGGAGACCAGACCTAGGGTGGGTGCTGCTGGGGTGCTGGGGGGTCTCCCACTCCCAGGTGCTCAGAGGTCTCGGGGGCTTCCCCCTGTGGTACCCAGGAGAAATACAGGGCCCTAAACTGAGGAGCTAGTCAAGGTCAGCAGCGTGCAAGGCGAGCTCCCTGTGTACAGTCTCTCTCCCTCTCTCTCTCCTCCCTCTTCCCCCCCTCCTCTCCCCCCCCTTAACTGATATTTTTAAAATAATGGAGGGGCCCTCAGTTGGGCTCCCTGTCCTAGGGCTGGTGGGATTAGCCGAGAATCGCCGGCGGGGGCCCCCAGACCTCCTGAGCTTCGTTGGAAGGCCCCCCAAACCATGTATTAGTGAATTTGGGGTTGGACCCTGGCAATGCTTAGGGTTTACCTCTGACTCTGTACTCAGGGATCACTCCTGGTGATTCTCAGAGCTTACTCCTGGTTCTGTGCTCAGGGACCACTTGGGGGAGTGCTTGGGGGATGATATGCAACACCAGGGATCAAAACAACTTTGATCTTTGTGCAGAACAAGTGCTAATCCCCTGTATTATTCCACTAGTCCCTGATATAGTGAGTGTTTAACGGAGAACAGTGAATAAATGATAAGAAACCTAGTCGAGGCCACAACAAATAAGTTTTAATTTGGTAAAGAACATCCAGCGAAACTGCACGTGTGTAAATGGTGGGTTGAGATTGAGGTCTTCGAGAAAAGAAAGAACAAAACCCCCAAGCCCAATAGAGAGCGAGAGCGAGAGAGCGAGAGAGCGAGAGAGAGAGGGGAGTGGAAGGGGGTGGCGCTCATGCTGTGCATACAGGGGGCCGCACTCAATACCCAGCCCCTCGTGGCCCCTGAGCACCTCCAAGAGTGACCGTTGAGACAGGGGTCACCCATGAGCACCGGCATGTCTGGCCCCCTAACCAGCATCCACACGGGAGCACCAGGACAGCCCAGGGCTCATTAGGAGGCCGTTCAGTGAATGTTCCGTGCGTGTTTATGGGGGCCTCCGTATGAGCCCCGAGGTGCTTCCCTGCGGAGTGAGGAGTGAGGGCTAGATGCGGGGACCTGTGAGACGGTTTCCAAGGCGTGGCAGCCTCACAGCTAGAACTCCCTGAGTGTGCAGTGGGCTTGGGGGCGCACAGCAAGAGTCACCGCCAGGAGGTGGGGGCCGACATCTGCAGGAGATTGAACGTGAGGTCTGGGCAAGGTAGGGCTCTGCGAAGCGGGAGGACGTCTGGGGCTACGGCGGGGATTGGACTGGGCGGCTTTAAGCGCTCCGCAGCAGATGGACCCTGCCGGGGCATGCTCACAGGCATGGGAAGGGAAACTCAGCCTCGTTTTCAGGAAACTGAAACTCGTGGTTATCTTCTCACACTCTGGGAGCTGATCATGTTGGCAGATGCCAGCAGAGCCCAGAGCTTCTTCCCTGACCACCGCACCCAACTCCCTTTTTCCCCCACTAAGGAGTTGACAGTCGCACATTCCACACGGCAGAGTCAGACAACCTCTCCTAAAGCTCCAATCCTTGTGGCCCACTGGGTAATACTGTCTTTCCTCAGCCAGTTCTGAGAAGGAGAAAATTAAATCGTATCCTACTTAGTTCATTTTTAGAGCATAAGGAGCATAACAGTCACAACAACAACAACAACAACAAATCACCTGCAGTTTCACTTCCATCAAAGAAATGTGCCAGTTTTTCACCCTTGCTGGAGCAATAGCACAGCGGGGAGGGCATTTGCCTTGCACGCAGCCGACCCAGGTTCGATTCCTCCGTCCCTCTCAGAGAGCCCGGCAAGCTACCAAGAGTATCCTGCCTGTACAGCAGAGTCCGGCAAGCTCCCCGTGGCGTATTCGATATGCCAAACACAGTAACAACAAGTCTCACGATGGAAACGTTACTGGGCCCGCTCGAGCAAATCGATGAACAACGGGAGGACAGTGCTCCAGTGGTAAATCGAAGGCAAGCGGACCCCATTGCCAGCGTTTCTTTCCTCCTGCCACCTTTTGGTGCCAGCCACTCTCCCTCCCCCGGCTGTGCTGGGTCTCCTGAAGACGTGGGGTCCCGCGTCATGCGTGTGGACATGAGCTGGTGGAGCTGGAACCAAATGGGCCTTGTTTGCCCACAAACGGCAGTTGGGTTTTGCGTGGAAGCAGGAGCAGGGAAAGCAAGTCTCTCTCTGCAGAGAAACTGTGCTTGGTTTTTTTCTAAGAACACCTGGGGCCGGGCTGTGGGCTCTGAGGGCAGGTGGGAGCTCCGGGCTAGACCCCTGTGATCCCCCAGCACCACTGGGAGTAGCCCCCAAGCACTGTGCTAGGGCTAACCCCCAGCACTGCTGGGTGTGACCCTCCCTCCTCCCCCACCAGGAAAGAAAAGTGAAGCAGAAGATAACAACCGGGTCTCTGCTGGGGGTGGGGAAGGCGCTTCCTGCTTCCTCCTGAGGCACACAGAGTCCTGGGGATGAAAACCAAATAAGCCGCCCTGCTGGGCAGCTGCTGCAGGTGGAGTGGACAGGAGGGGCGGGACCTGCTGTACTGTCCAGGGTGACCTCTGCGGGCTGCTGGGTAGCCTTTCCCCATTCCTCCTTCCTTCTTCCTCCCTCCTGAAGCTTTTTTTTTTGGTCACATCTGGCGGTGCACAGGGCTTACTCCTGACTCATGCACTCAGGAATCACTCCTAGCGGTGCTCAGGCGACCATATGGGATGCTGGGAATCAAACCCGGGTTGGCCGCGGGCAAGGCAAACGCCCTCCCCGCTGTGCTATGGCTCCAGCCCTCCCTGGGGCTTCAACGGGATGGGGCTAGCCACGCTCCACCGGTGGCCTTGTCTGCTGTGCTGTGAGGTCTGTGCGCCCTCAGATATCATGGATGTTGCAGGCCGGTGTGGGTCAGGTGACCTGGTGGCCCGGTGGGGAGGCAGGCCTTTCGTGGTCTTCTGCTTCGTGACTCACTAGCACCGACGCCGAATGAGGGGCCGCCCCTTTCTCCCAGACCCCAGGTCATCCCAGGTGGGGCACCCACCTTAACCCATCTTCCTCTCGGAACTCCTGTTTAAAGACTTCTGGGTGTACCCAGTGCCTTTTCCCCTCTTAAACATCAGTCTTGGTGGGAGGGATGCTGGGATCATTGGTGGTAGAGAATGGGCACTGGTGAAGGGATGGTTACTCGATCATTGTATGGCTGAAACATAAGCATGAAAGTTTCTAAGTCTGTAATTGTACCTCACGGTGGTACATTAAAAATAATATTTTTTTCTTTTTGGGTCACACCCAGCAATGCACAGGGGTTACTCCTGGCTCTTCACTCAGGAATTACTCCTGGCGATGCTCAGAGGGCCATATGGGATGCTGGCAATCGAACCCAGGTCAGCCGCGTACAAGGCAAACGCCCTACCTGCTGTGCTATCGCTCCAGCCCCAATAATAATTTTTTAAAAAGTTTTAAAAAGTATGGTATTTTAAAAATAAACAATAAAATAGTGTTACATCAAAAAAGAAACAAAATCAGTCTTATTTCACACACACACACACACACACA